TGAGACCAAGAAGGCAAATCAAACCACCAGTTCGATTTCATGAAGAATTCGGGTACTACTGTGTTAGTGCAAATTTTTGTAATGCTACAGTTCCAGGTAACTTTGAGGAGGCGAAAACATGCAGTGAGGCTGGACGTTGGAAAGAGGCAATGGACAGTGAAATGAAAAGTCTTGTTAAAAACGACACTTGAACACTAGTGACTAAACCAGAGGATAAAGCAATTCTAGGTGTGAAGTGGGTATTCAAAAGAAAACCAGGTAATGTTTTTAAAGCTAGATTAGTGATTTGCGGTTTCCAGCAAAGATAGTATTGAGAATACTTACTTCCCTGTCATTAATATGCAAACTTTAAAATTGTTACTTTCATATTCTTGTCAATATAATTTAAATATTTGTCAAATGGATGTTGAAACTGCTTTTTTACATAGTTATGTTGTGTCTGAGGTTTACGTTAAACAACCACAAGGCTATAATGATAATTCGAATAGAGTGTATAAATTAAAGAAAGCACTATATGTGTTGAAAGAAAGCCCTAGTGCTTGGTATGAGTGTTTTAACGAGTATATTGAGAGTCTAGTCTATTATGTAAAATCTGAAAATGATGTATTTATATATATTCTTTTATTTGTTGATGATTTGTTGATATGTTGCAAAGATACTCAGGTAATTAATGATATTAAAGAACAGCTATATAATAAATTTAAAATGAAGGATTTAAATAAAGTAAAAAGCTACATTGGAATTTATATTGAATATGATAATGAGAAAAGTAATATCTTAATATTGAGTCAGGAAAATTATATTGAATTAGCTAAACTGTATGGTATTGAAAATTCAAAGCTTTATGATACACCAATGGAGATTAATATTAAACTAAGCCAATCTAATTTAAATCAAAATGTCAAATATAGAAATCTAATAGGAGCACTCTTGTATATTAGTCATGGTACTAGACCAGAAATATCTTTCAGCGTAAATTATTTAAGTAGATTGCAAAATTGTTATGATGAGATTTTTACATTTCAATATATGCTTTGAGAGTTTTAAAATATTTGTACTTAGCAAAACATCTAAAATTAACCTATAGTAAAAATCTTAAAACTGATATTATGAATTGTTATTTTGATGCTGATTGGACAGGTGATATTGTTGACAGAAAGTCAACTACTGGGTTTGTTATTGAATTATTTGGTAATCCAATTTACTGGAAATCCAAAAAGCAAAATTGTGTGACAAAATCTTCCACTTTTGCTGAATATATTGCTCTATCTGAGGCTGTGACAGAAATTAATTTCTTAAAAAATGTTGTGAATGATGTTTTTGCTGATATAACTCACCCCATTAAAATTTATGAAGATAATTCAGGAGCTTTGGCCATTGCTAATTATGGGAACTTCACTAAAAATTCAAAACACATAGAAGTTCAATATCATTATGTACACGAAAATGTTCAAAATGGAGTAATTGAAATTGTAAAGATTGATTCAGAATCAAATATTGCAGATATCTTTACTAAGTCTTTAGGAAAGATTAAATTTATGAAATTCAGAGAAGGTTTGAAATTGAAATAAATTTTGTATACTGTTTATTTAAATATTTTGCTTGAGATGAAATAGATTTTGGTAATGTCCGTATGTAAACTAAATTGTATTTAACTTTGATTTTAACATTTAAGTTAATGAAAGAAACCTTTTTGAAATAATTTGTGTTAAGTGTTGAATGTTAGTGTTTATATCTATGCTTAATTGTAAATGGTAAAGATGAAAAGGTTGCTTATATCTATGTTTATTTGTAATTAGTAAATATAAATGTAAGGAGGCGTGTTAGTTTGGTACATTTATCTTTACCATGTTGGCAACATTAAGTTTTCTTCTCTGCGTGCCAGCTATGGATGTCGTTGTAATGTTGTACACGTGTTGTTAAGTTTCAATAAAAAATGTGAAAAGATACGTTTCTTATTTTTCGACTTGCTTCTTGATATGATATTGGTTTATTTAACATACTGACAAAATTCAAGAATACGATTGTGGACCGGAACTCACATATTATGCTGTTCATATTATGGAGGTTTAATAGTATTTTTCACAGAAAAAGTCTGATCAATGTCTCAGCATTATGACTTACAAGAACCAATGCTGTGTAGCTGGTTACCTCGAAATATGTGAATCAAAAGGCAAGTAGCAAATTTCTTCATCATCTCAAAATATTAAACTTAGAAACAGCTCTAAACTATTTGGAATAGTCATGAAAGATTAGATCAAGGTTGCTCACATGAAACAACAAAACTTGACAACTGTTTCTGTCCATAAATGACCACTGAAACAGAACAAGAACCTTGTTTGCCACTTACTTACGAGACAGCTTTTCTGGGTTACAGTACAAAAAGTGTCAACAAAAAACTATACAATATCACCTTCATCAATAAGGTTTGCAATCATCTAGAATTGTAGTTTGTGTTCACTTTGCAGGATGTAAAGAAACAGAGCAGATGAATATCGCAAATGACATAATATGAAGAGGTGTCAAGTCTTCTTCACAAAATTACTCTTGGAACCAGAAAATTGCTCAATCTTCATATGAACAAGAAATAATGCAACTATGAGACATGAAAGGTCATAAAATCAAGATGAAGAAGTAATGACATTGGTATGAAAAATATAGGTAGCCTTGTGGACCTATATATTACATAGAATGGCAAGCTGACGAGTAGAAGATACAAGAATGATGTCCTAGAATCGAAACATTATACTTTAGTATAAATTTACATAAACACAATATATATATATATATATATATATAAAGAAAAATATAAAATCATTTAAAGAATTTTCGTGCATTATGCCACTGAAAATTGATCACTTGTTGTTGTTGTCATGTCCATATTACATGGAACAATGGTTGCCAGAGCCTACTCCGAAGAGAGGTTGGACTTCTATTTTCCACCCCCAGTTTTGAGGAAGAACACCGTGGGGGAATCTGGGGGCCTTCCACCTGTCTCTTCTGCCTTTAATTCACATCAGAGGACTTTCGGCTCACTGCATATTTAGAATGCCACCATGCCGCACCGACACTATATATTTACAGACATCCATGTCTTCTCCAGGATTCGAACCCGGGCCCTTCAGTACCGTAATAGGCTCCCCAACCACTATACTGTCTGGGCGACAATTGATCAGTAAATACATAAGAAAAGAAATTTAGAACCAATTTTTCACAAAGACCAAAAATTGAAATTCAGATAAATAATTTTTTTTAAAAAAATACTGATAAATGTGGATTAGAATTCTGAAAATGTTAAAAGAAAAATTAAAATAAATCAATATAAGAAAAGCCAAAAATAAATAATGTAAAAAAGAACATGAAAGAAGAATAATAAAATCAACTCTGACATAATGCCTACAGGAGGAGAATATTCCAAAACTGATTACAATTCCCCTACCATAAGAAAATCCTTGCTTTTCTATATCACCTTAGCTGGTGAACCATTCCTATATATATATATACATTTTTTTAATTTTAACAGTTCACCCAAAAACTCTGGTCCTCTCCAATACAAGGAAAAATGGCAAAGATTACGAAGTAAAATCATTATTGAAGATCTTCCTATTAAAAATAAATCACTTCCAAAATTGAAAACTTACCCAAACTAGCAACCCTAGGTGTCTTAGCTTCTAACAGTTATTTTCACTGTTACAATGCTTCAATGTTTAAATTTTGTTAACCGAAGATATTTGTTTTTATTCTACATATAATAGGTAAGTTTTCAATTTTGGAAACGATTCCTTTTTAATGAAAAAATCTTCAATAATGATTTTACTTTGTATTTTTGCTATAATGATTTTACTTTGTACTTTTGCTATTTTTCCTTGCTTCAGGGAGGACCCGAGTTTTGGGGTGAACCATAAACATTAAAAAAAGATATTGCAATGATTCATCAGCTAATTCTTTATATATAAAAGCCAGGATTTTCTTATAAAAGGGAAAATGTAACCAATTTCGGCATATCCTCTTCCTGAAGACAGCATGTCAAAGTTAAAAGGATTTCTCATCGTTCCTGTTCTTTTTTACATTATTTATTTTTGGTTTTTCTTGTATTGGTTTACTTTAATTTTTCTTTTAACATTTTCAGAATTATAATTCACATTTATCAATTTATTTTTAATTTCAATTTTTGGTCTTTGTGAAAAGTTTGTTCTAAAATTTTTCTTTCTTTTAGTATAAATTTATATACACTTTTAGAGAAACATTTTATTTTCACACAGTTCAACAAATATTTATGAATTTCAATGAATTTTTGTTGTTTGAATTCTAAATGAATATTCACCTATTAAGTTCACTAGCAGTTCAAGAGTTTGGGGCCAAACCCTAAAATTCCCCAAAAGGCTATGAATAAAAGGGTATTTCCTTGATTATAATTCCAAAATTACCCTCCCACTTTGTACCTTTACTCTTTTATTTCCAATATTTATACTAGTTTAATTATTTGAACACATTTCAAGATGCAAGTCTATATACTTGATGGTGTCATTACAATTTTTGAACACACATATGCATCTCCCGTTTGAAGGGTTAAGGAAAGCAATAAGAAATGCCCTCCCCCCCCCGTCCAAAAAAAAAAAAGAAACCTTCACTTGAGCACTTGAAAGCCTTTTTCTAACTTAGTTTTATTATGAAAAATTGAGAAAAGAAAACTAAAGCAAGCTATGCTTATATACTGCAAATTGCTGCTGATTTTACAAAATCAATAATCTTTCAGTGATATATCAAAAGATTTTCAACGCTAATAGATCTGTTCTCCCTTTAAAATTTCACTCAGCGTAATGTACTAAAATTGTAAAAACATTGTAGCTCCTTAATCTGAACATAAATTAAAAGGAAGTCTTAACAATGAACCTCATAATTTAATTATTGATGAATGTCTTTCTATTACTAGTACACAGAACTTATCGGCTAAGACCAGTTAACTCAAATGGTTCCCTAAGGTCTTTTACCAAATTTACCAACAAAATAACTTTGTGTCACTTGAACTGCAGCACTGGTGATAAGTTTGATTTGTGCCTTCACTAAATAGCTGAAAATTAATGCACTAAAAAAAGTGGAAAAAATAATATAGGCAAAATGAGGCCAGAAACTGTGATCTCAAGGGTTGAAAAACAACTCTGCATGTTACTGCTCCATTAACAGGACTTCAGCTGTGAGGAACCATTCAGTCTCCTGATTCACCAAAATGAATGAGTTTGGTGGCTTTAAAATTTGCAGTTACTTTCTCATACGAGATTTTTGCTTTCTTGATTAAAATTCTTAGTATCATCATCAAACAGCCAGCTCATGGCTACTCATAGTTCATCTCAAGGGGTGCAATGTTTCCTTATTTTCACACAGAAGATGTAAACTTTTTTTATCAGTCTTTCATGCGTGCTGTTGTTTTGGTTGATTTTTCTTTGGTTTTGTGACCAAAAAGGACAAGGAATTCTTTGTTTCTGAATCTATTATTTGGTAGAAATTTTCTTCTATTTTTGCTTTTCTTGTACTCTGAGTGACTCAGAATGAGCTCATATGTTCTTGGCTATTTACAGGCAGCTTCTTCTTTTAGTTTCAATTCATATTTTGAATTTGGTACTCAAGACCACATTTTACACACCATTCTTTTCTGCAGTATAAATGATGCATATGCTCAAATTTCCGGAATCGAAAGTACAGTGTCAGGTATTTTCTTGGCCTTCAACTGTTCTGTACAAACACTGATGCTTAGTACATTGTTAATGTTATAAATGGCTTCTGTTGTTCTAAACAATTGAAAAAAATAAACCATTTTCAACGGTTTCATCTTCGATTCGAATTATTTGCTTGACTAAAATCACAGAAAATTTTCTTCTCATTAAATATGTTTTGATTTCTTCCTCAAGAACATATTTAAGATGTTTTTCTGGTTTGAATTATATTTTTTTAATTATTATTTTTCAGTTGATAAATGTGAAACATGATTTCATTTTTCTGTAAGCTTTTTGTAACTTTTCTATAAGCAGTGCTGTTTTTCAAATGTACATAAACAGAGATTACTTCTTGGTAATGATTTCAAATTCTTCTATGCATCTAATTTATGTCATCAAGCATGATGATAATGGGAAGAATTTTCCCTGCTGCAGATTCTTGAATGTCAGTTTTGTTATTATTTTTATCATCAATATTTACTTCTGCTTGTAAAAAGGCAAATCTTTGGGTGAATCAAATTAATCTGGGTAAGCTCAAACAGTTCCTTATTATCAGAGGCTTTTGCCATTTTCCTGAATGAAATCCAATCAGAAGAATCTGTTTTCTTCTCTTTGTTTCTAATTTTTTGTGAACTCAGTTTATTTTCTCCTGATATGGTAATCCAAGTGTAAAACTCTAATCAAGCAATATTTAAGGATACATTTCAAGCTGTATGCTATCCACTGTTTCTTTCATATCTGTTGCTTTGGTCAGATCTGTTATCTTTATTCTGTTGGGTTGGTTTTTTTCATGTTAATTCTTTTAACATGAAAAAAACATCATATTTTTATTCTTAATTCTTGATTGTTTTCTCTGAAAGGTTTTCATTAAACTCTTAAGAATCATATTTGATAGTCACTGGTTGTGAATTCACTGAATAATCTGGGTTGAATTAGTCATTGAGATACTCGTTATCTTCAGCACTGAAAAAGGATCTCTTCAATGAGCAAAAAACTATTCTCATGTTGAAAAACATACATTTTTTTTTTTTATTTATTTTTGAAAATATGGATTGAAAACCTATAATTTTTATCTCTTAAAACAGGAAACTTGTCACATTCAAGCAAGCAAAGAAAATTTCAGTCATATCAAAAAAAGTAAATAATTGAAAAGAGGAATCTTAAAATAAACATTCTAGTAAAAATTTGCAAAACATGCTATATTCTTCCTTAATTATAAAAATCTATAATGTATCTTCCTGCTTCTGGAAAAAAAATAGTATTACTAGACTGTATGATGTCTTAAATGATGATTTTGCACCTGAATTTTCTGTCTAAACTTTTCGCCACAAACAGAGCACCGATACAAGCATATGTCTGTATGAATCACTAAATGTGCATCTAAATTCTTTTTTTGTTTAAATGCTTTCTTGCATATTTTACAAATGTAAGGTCGTTCATCAGAATGAAGTCTTAAGTGAGTTTTAAGATTACATTTCTGAGTAAAACTTTTTTTGCAAATATCACAAATGAAAGGAGGATATTTCTTATGAAGTAATAGATGTTCTTGAATGTCATAGTTTCTTTCGGTGACATAAAAACAAAAAGAACATTTGTAAACTTCACTTTTAACTTGAAACTGGTTCCCAGATTTAAAGTTCACAAAGTCTCTACCTAGAAAATGAAACAAATTTGAATAGTTATTATTTTATGAAATAATTATGACATTATCATGTGATTGACTAACATGAATTCAAATAAATTTCCAGAACCCACGTGAAGAATTATTATAACCAATAAATACCTTGATATAAGATGCACATACAGAAATTATAAGCCAAAGAAGATTTTCAGACATACAAGAAAATAAACATTCATACTATTAAATGCTTTACATCACACAAATAATGAACAAAAGAGTGCAGATGAGACACACTGGTCTATCTTTTTAAAACTAAAAAAAAACATATTTCCACGTTCTACAATACTCTGAATTAACATTAAGTTTTTTAACAGACATTTTAGGTTTGAAATATTTTACAAATACCCACAATACTCCAAACAAGCACCAGCAACACTGTACTTATAATAATTTCAACATTATTCACAATGATGATATCTATCTGCCACTTTCCATTTAGCAATAGATGCAATCAGTAACTTGTGGCCACAGAGAAGTGTAGAAAAGCATTCATCTATTATATGTAGTGCCATCTGTTACTTTTCTTCAGCAAAATTTGCTATCAGAACTAGTAAAGATACCTTTACTATGAAACTAAAATTTTCACATTCATTGAAAAAAAAAAAGAAAAGAAGAAGTACTTTTACTCATTTAGGAAGATTATCAATAAATATTGCATTCTGAAACATTTTTAGGGGCAGATATAAATCTTGTTATACTTGTCCGTCTATACCACAGAAAGGCATGGGGCAAAGCTTAAAATACACAGTGTAAATGTCACTGAAATGAGGTAGCAGATCGCTTCTACACAAACTTGTTTTTTCCATGGACAATGAGACATGCCTTTCTGTTTTGGCTTTATACAGTAAATGTATTGTAATACTTAATATATATAATATTATATATCGTTTAGCAACATCATAAATATATTATATAAATACATTTTTAAAATTTCTGGCTTTGACCATCCCTGCTTTAAACAACAGAGAAGTTAATAATAATTTAAAGCTGAATGTAATAATAATTTTAAAATATATTTTATCAATGATTTTCAAAACACTTAAAAGTTATTTTTAATCTTCACAGAACATTACAAATGATTATATTTCTTAAGATGATTAACATCATTAACTTTTTATGATGATTAGCAGTCACTTAACAATAACTGTGTAACAATGCACCTGCATGTTATTTACATATGTCTATTTCTTGCCACAAGCAGAACTTTGATACAGATAGGCACTGAGTAAAGTTTTAAATAGACATTCAGATTCCTTTTTCACTTCTCAAACAAAAGATCCCTCCCCAGTATGAAACTTCTAAATGAATTTTAAAGCATTATTAAATAGGCATTCAGATTCCTTTTTTTACTTTTCAAACACGTTCTTACAGTTAAAGAAATTTTTTAAATGTTAAATAATTTATAAGCCTTTTGTAATGAACTAAATGCTTCTAGAAGCAATCAAATCTGAAATGGTTAAACATAGAAAAGATTTTGAAGATCTAAAAATAAACCTCTTTCAATAACATAAGAATACAATAGAATGATTAGAAAAATTGTTAATGAAAAGACATTTTAAAGGAACTAAAAAAAGACAAGAAGTTTAAATACAAAAGGGAAGAAATTGATGCCCTTGCAGAAAGTAATTGCATTAATTCAGATTATATTCATTAAGAGTTGATATGAAGTTTGAACAAGATAACACAATTAAAATCTTGAAAACCAAACTTACTTCTAGATCTGCACACCGAAAGAAAGAAATTTGCATAAAACAACTGCATTTTTTCACTAGTGAACATGCCTTAAGCAACATTCATTCTAATTGAGCCAATGGCAAGACAAAGTGAAAGATATTTTTCCTCCTATGATGTATATGTTATGAAACAATAATTATGATTATCTCATCAGAAATTAATGCTCTAAGCATTTCAAAGTTCCACTTTAAATATTAAAAATAAAAATTATTTAAATTTTTACAGAAATAACAGTTTTATTTGCATTAATGTACAATTTCATGACTAAAATATTTGAAGAAATTTAATTAACTGATTATGGCAAAGCATTAAAAAGTTATCTATCTCAGCATATAAAATTTTGTAAAGGAAACTGACCCATATTCATACTATTCATGGCAAGAATCATACAAATCTCATATGGCTAGCTCATTTGCCAGGAACTAAACCTGGGATGAAATACCAACATTCAGTAGTCTTATCCAGTATGTCACTAGCAGGCATATCTATGAAAACAGTTCAGTTAATGAAATACATGATATACGCTATATAAAAAATTTTAAAAAATATATTGCGTAAATTTATGCAATATATTTTTTACCATATGGTTAGGAGTTAATCCACATTTATTCATAACATTGCTTAGATCTTTGAGAAAACCTGAAATATAAAACGAATCAGTATAGAAAGATATCATTTCTTAACAATTACTGTTAGTCACTATAAATAACAATCTGCAACACGAAAAGAAATTTTTTATTTAGTGTGGGAGATTTTTGAAATTTACAATAGTAAACTTTCTGTTCCTGAACAAAGGTTAAAAAAAATCAGCATTTTGGGAGCCCTAGTTTAACTCTATTACATGAGAATGCTTACTGGCACAAATTAAAAATCACCATATACATAATAGATTTAGATTTAGATGAAATTTTTAAGTGTTTATTTTATTAATACCTTAAATTATGTTACTAAAAACTTCTCAACTGCAGCAGTTCTTTTTTTGGGGGGGGGCATATGCTTTTTCATTTACAAGCCATCAGTTTTCCTGCAATTCCCAATTGCCACTTTTCAAGTATGTTTCCAATCACACCATCTAGTTTTGCATCTCTCCTCTTCGTCCATTCTCTTCCTTGTCTTTTTTAGTCTGTCTCTTCAAAATTGGAGGCTCAAATCATTGGCAACTGTGGTTCTTCCATATGTAGCATTCTTAGCAAATGTGGTATCAAAATCTTTCATACTTCATTTTTTCTAATACAGGTATTTCTTCCTTTTACATACAACTTAACATATTTTTCATGCAAATAATAAAAATGCCTACATGGATATCTTCTCCATTGGTCACACATGTATAATTAAAATTCATACAGCACTGAACTCAATTTATGAGGAACCAAATGCATTGTATTCATTTAAACACAAATGTATAAATCATAGTTGAAATATGCTAATAATTTAAAGCTGCATGTAATAATAATTTTTAAATATATTTTATCAATGATTTTCAAAACACTTAAAAGTTATTTTTAATCGTCACAAAACATTACAAATGATTATATTTTTTAAGAAGATTAACATCATTAACTTTTTATGATGATTAACAGTCACTGAATAATGACTGTGTAACAATGCACCTGCATGTTATTTACATATCTCTATTTCTTGCCACAAGCAGAACTTTGATACAGATAAGCACTGCGTAAAGTTTTAAATAGACATTCAGATTCCTTTTTCACTTCTCAAACAAAAGATCCCTCCCCAGTATGAAACTAAATGAATTTTAAAGCATTATTTTTTTGAATTAAACATTATTTTCAAATTTTTTAATCATGCTACAAATATCACACTCAATGGCAAGATCTGTGCACTAACATATGTTCTTAATTTTTTTATTATTACTATCATTATAGGATAAAGCAGTTTTTAGAACATTAATACAGAGACCAATCGTCATTTGAAATATCTCAATGCAAAAGATTTTGACAAATTAACCCTAAAGTGGATAAGTTATCTGAAGTTACATAAACAGATATGCTTATACCATCTCAAAAACAGTTTCTTTTTAGAAATTTTGTTTTAAAATCATATATATTGCAGTTAAATTTATAATAGCTATGCCTTAGGCACAGACAAAAGGATTTCAGACTTCCAAAAACAATATCTCCCCTCTCCGATATTTTGAGAACTGTCCATTCAATGACACAATGTTTAATTTAATTCTTATTATTATTTATGACTGAAAAAAATTCAAATAAATTAAACCTTAAAATACAAGCATATGGATCCTAAATGATGCTCTGAAACATAAATCATAAAATTTTAATTTAATAAATTAAATTTTAATTTAATTCAGCATTAAAAGTGTTTTAGTTAATTTATTAAACAAAAATAATGTATTTTTACACTTTATTAAAATGTAAAAGCACCCTGTGTTTAAATTATGTCAGTATACAAATTCTTATTGCACAGAATATTTTAAAAAGAAAATTATTGTACTTGCATATAAAACTTATTTCTCACTTCCACCCATATATATAGAGAGAGATAATTTCATAAAGAAAAAATCAAAGTTTGCTATGTGCAAACATCTGATGTACATGTTTCCTGTAATACATCTAAGTGATTATTAATTTTACACAATATAAGTTAGAATTATCATGCAACACAATTTCAGGCTGCATATAATTTAAAATGCTCTGCTGCAGCAATTTGCTAGCAAAGTTCTTACAATACAGTGGACAAGGATAACCCATACTTTTTGAGAAAATGTTTTACTGCAAATATCACAAATGAGAGGAGGATATTTCTTATGAAACAGCAAATGCTCTTGCAGATTTTCTGAATCCCCACTGAAAAAATAACCAAGGTCTAGATAAAAAAGACATCCTATGCATGGTCATCTTTTGCATTTTGGAGAACTGTTAAGTCTACATAAAATTATGATTATAATTAACTAACTAACATAGCTTTCTTATAGTAAAGTATTAGTGATATATTTTTATATTGCATAAAAATAGCAATCTGAAAGTATATTAAGTTTGTCCTTTCTCTCTGAAAAAAACCTGTATGCAATTTATGAAGATTTATGAATTTCATTTATGAACTTAAATACGTAAGAAGGTTTAAATAAATACATTAATTTGTATCTATTTATACTTTTGTAAATGTTAAATTCAATTCATACATAAAATAAAAATCTGCCATATTTAGACAAAAAAAAATTTATATATAATGATAACAGAAAAATTCAATACTACACATTAAAAAAATATTTTTCCCCCTTAAAACAAATAACAACATTCTTTAGTCATCATGATATGGCAGGAAGTGTCCATGCTATTAAAGAAAATTCAACAATGATACATACAACCTTCACAATAATGGTTTTGCAATCCAAGTTTATGTCTATATTTGCTACCACAAACAGTGCAATGATATGGATATTCATTAGTATGAATCCTTAAATGAGTATTAAGAACATATTTCTGAGTAAAACTTTTGTTACACACTTCACAATTATAAGGCCGTTTTCCAGAATGAATCCTTAAATGAGTGTCAAGATGTGCTTTTTGCTTAAAAGTTTTGTTACATGTTTCACAAATGTAAGGTCGCTCTCCTGAATGAAGCATTAAATGTCTTTTAAGATAAACTTTTTGGGAAAATGTTTTACTGCAAATATCACAAATGAAAGGGGGATATTTTTTATGAAACAGCAAATGCTCTTGCAGATTGCACCGTTTTACAGTAACAAAAGAACAAAAAGAACAATTGTAAATATCACTTTTAACTTGACTTTGGTAGCCAGATCCTGCTTGAACAATCTCTATACCTATAAAATGAAGCAAAATTCAATAATCAGGCTTTACAAAAATAATTATACTCCTCTATGACTGATTAACTTCCAATTAAACATATTTCCAGACGCAAAATTAATAATTATGCTGAGAAACAAAGAAAAAATAAACTAGGTACAAAGTATGCATAAGATAACTAAGAATATGGAATTAAAATAAGATAATTAAGTACTGAAGAAGTTATATCCAACTTAAAATGTCAAAAAATAAGCTGCCCTAGTTGTTAAATGTTTAAATAAATCAAATCATCATCAATTGTAGAAAATTTTCTTCCTGAAATTCTAAGAAATTATCTTTAAAAAAAGTCTATCTGAATCACCAGCAGCATAAAATGACTTTAATAGGCTGTTTGTTCTTATTCATTTTAAAAAAAAATAAATAAGAATAATTCCTTAGCAAATAAAATACCTAATTAAACACTGTAAAATAAATCTATTCTTTATTTCTAAAATAAGATTACATTGTAAATTAATCAGATGATTAAGAAATGAAAAAATAAGTTTTAGATGAAAAAGAATATTAAAAATAAAAAAAATTCTTATGGCTAAAGGCAGTACAAATTTGATATGATGAAAATCATCTTTTCATCCAATGATAATTTAACAAGACATTTAACTTTTCATCAAAGGTATATTTATGTAAGCATAATACATAGTGACAAAAGAATATGATTTCACATTATAGAAATATTTTCTAATGTTGAGCATAACAATCAAGAATTAAAATTTTCAAATTTCAGTGCTCACCAATAATCTTACTATAACATGAAAGATAGCAGTTAACAGAATTATATTTATTTTACAAATACATCACAATGAAAGAATGAAATAACTAACATTTCAAGCAGTTCTGAAATATGCAGAAATCAGTGCTGCAAACATCCATCTCTGGCAACAATAATAGCAGCTATTATATTGCTGAGCATGGAGTTGAACAGATTTATTTATAGTCATGAGTATTTCAAAACATGTGACTTTAGATCTATACCAGAGTTTATCTGTCATCTTAGCTGGTTAGTGCTGTCATACCAATCTCTCTGCAACTGTTGACGAGATATTTTTAATTGGCGACAGATCTAGAGAATATGCTGGCCAAGGCAGGTGTCAAACAGCCTGCATATTGAGGAAGCACAGGAGATCTTGGGCAACATGGAACTATCTTTAAAGGTGAGGCTACTGAGGCTCCAAAGACAAGGCCTAACCATGAACATTAAAAATGTCAGTAATGTAATGGTAATTTATCAAACTAGTGAATATGCTGACTAGAGATGAACAATACATCTATAACATCAATTCATATGCTGAGTTAGTACAACAATGATGAATGCAAACTTCCATATATTCATTCCCCTCAGATCCTCCACACTTACATACAGCCATCATAAGTGAAAACTGCATTCATTAAAAAATACCTGTCCTGCCACTGATGCATCACTGAGCATATCATTGCAGGTGGTGATACCTTTGATCTAGTATCAATTAAAGCTAAAACAATGATCACCTTGCTGACCATTAACAGAAATACAGGCATTATCACATTATACCTGCAGTAACTTAATGCTGTGCAACCGGGGCAGAATTTCTTCTGAGAGAGAATAGAAAAAAAATTGATGCTGCCAAAGGGGGTAAATTTATTAATAAGAGTTAAACTTGT